TTCAACTCTATTGTAGCTCAAGCAGAGGAAAAGATGGAAGGAATTGAAAAACTTACTCCTCTCTTTGAAGAACAACTCCATCTCTTCTCTCAATTTGATTCTGATTTAGATCATGTCAAAGTTCTTGTGGCCGAAATTGAAGAAAAGGGAATGAATCTTGTTGGAGATAAACTTGACAAGGTTTTAGAAAAGGTTTCAGATGTATTACACATACCAAAACTTGGAGGAGAATCATCACCACTTGCTGGTATTAAAAAGTTGTTCTAACAAATTATATATTTCATGTTAAAATTTTTTTGCTAATGTTTGTTATAAAGCTTTTATTCAGTAGTCCATTACATCGTTGCAATGTTGTCAATGTTCATCAAAAGTGGAGTTCATCACAGCAGTTAAATTGTCCTATTTGCAGAATTTCAACCTATAGAGATAAGAAGTAAAACATGTAAGTTTATTATTATTAATAATGTCTCTTGTATCAATTACTACCTGAGACCACATTTCCACTATATTAAGACTCTGTTCAGCGCGATTCTTTTGAGATTTCATGCCACTCAAATGAACGTTCGTAATACTTTGGTCTTACTGTTAGTTTTCAGCTATTATGCCGCACACCTTAAGATTCTCATTCACTCTCCTTAGATTCAATGATTAAATAAGTAAATTATGCAATTTGGATGTTTGTTGTTTCCCCTTCCAAAAAAAAACAATCTCTACCCAAAAAATTGTACAAGTTTTACCTTAGACACTGTTTCCTTAGAGAAAACAACAAAAATATCAACACCAGCAGCACTCATCACTCTATTCAATCTATCTATTTGGTCATGAATAGTACATCTAATATTTTAGCCACGGGGGATGTATCGAGCAGTTTGGGAAGAGACTCTCGTTCATTTGAGAGAGGTTTCTTCTCCATGGCTACATCTCAGGCTCATGTGGGAGGAAGTGGTTCCATTGTTTCTAGTAATTCGAATGGTGATGGCTCCGATTCATTATCTGAATATACAAATTCTTCCATTGTGGCCAGTTTTGAGGAGAAGATTTCCACATTAATCTTGAGTCTACAACAACATTCAGGCTTGAAAGAAACAAATTGGTGGAACTTTTTCTTTACACTTTTCTATCATTGTATTGTTATATGGAGTATGGTATTTCTTCCGTCCATAGACGAGAGAGGTATGAATTGGGATGCCAATGGAAAGTGGTTGTGGAGAGCAACCAATTATTTAGTAACTCTCTCCCTCAATATTTCTTCCTTTGATGTTGTCATTGGTATTCTGGTGGGTTTCTTTGTTATTATTACTACATGTATTATCATGGTAGGTGTATCATATAAGGCCATCCAATCAACGAGCAAATATTGGAATAGAATCAAGGTGATCACAAGAGTAGTATTGGGCTTTCTTCTTTTAACTTCAATGATTTATTCCTATGTCTATAGTTTGATTCTGTCATGTAATTATGGCACCAAAGTTCAATTAGTTGTTAATGAACAAACTGTGGAGGTTTTGCGAGACTTTCAACTTGTGGCTTGTACAAGCTCTATGAATTCTGCTTTCATTGCTGTGGGTGGTTTCTTTTTCATTGTTTTACTAGTACTAAACATACTAGCAACACTAGTTCTCTTTGACAACAATCCAACGAGTAAGAATTGGTTTTGTGCAGAGACCAACCTTGCCTTTATTCCAATAGTACCATTGAGTAGCGTTTTTATTATCCTGATGGGTGTGTTACCTAATCGAGCTTCATTTGCTTTTATTCTTCCAATTATTTACATTGTTTTTTCTCTAGGATATATTGTATTCTTCTTCTACATGTTACCCTTCTACCGAAGAATGGAGAACTCTATATATGTTGGATTTCATTTTGCTAGGTTAGGATCTGCTATTGGTTATTTAATTTCTAGTATTGTAAATAACATCTCAGGAGTATCAGACACTGTGAAATTAGGCATGTTGGGAGTTGTATTGGGACTGGCTATTATATTTGCAATTTCTGCCTTTTTTGCATGTGAATTGTACTTGAGATTGGCTTGTGCCTCCATTAGACAAATTTTAACTGAAAGTGAGCTCTCCAAAGATGAAAAAACTGGAGGAGGAAGTGTAGCTGTCAATATTGAACGAGATGCAACATTCCTCTATCAAATTATAGAATCTCAAGGCAAACTAAGACAATTGAAATTATTCTTCCGTTTCTGCAAGTCTTACAAGAAGATGGTTGGTGATGATATATACACTGATCTGGACTCATGTCTCAGATTAATTAAGGGGTTATTTTCTCAGAGAACCACCAGTAAGATGCCTTTTGGTGTTTTACTTTCCTCTGCTGTTATTGTTGCCTATTTTAATCCAATTATTGTATTGAGTATTTCAGTTTCAACAACAATGCTAAAGAGAGCTCAAAAACAAGTGCACAACATTATTGGAAGATATCTTGTCTTGGAGAAGACTAAAGATTTTGAGTTCCTCTATGGTAAGGATGCATCTGGTAAAAACATTATGGAAATTAAGAATTTGATTTCCAAATTAGAAAGGAAGCAATTAATTATTCATTATTTACACAAGGCCTTTTGGAAAGAATTTATTCAAAACGATCAGATTGATGTTGGTAAGGTGGAGAGTATTAATAGACAAATTACCTCCCTCACTTTATCTTGTAACAGTTCGTACGAGGCTCTCTCACAAAGTTATCCAAGTGACAAGACTATAATCAGATCTCATGCAAGATTTGTTGAAGAATGTTTATTTCAACCTGAAAGTGCTAATGAAATGTTCCAAGAAGCTCAGCAAATTGAAGAAGAAGAAACTGTTAATGCAAGAAAGTTCTTACAAAAGAATAGGACAAATAAGATTGTTCCAACCATGTCCACTCTAATAATTGATCATTCAACTGAGCAAATGAAACAAAATCCAATTAATTCGTCAATGGACCACGATGACGATATTGAAAATGAAAGATTTGATGGTGTTGAAAATACAGAGTCAGCCACCAAAAAGGTAGACTTGCTATTCAGATCCTCCCTTGCCTATTCTATGAAAAATCAAATTCAACTTTCATCATTTATTGTATTTTCCATTATTTCAGTAATCTTATTATTGTGTGGTATGATTTTGAGCATTGTAATCTCCTTAAATGTTTCGGGAGATATTTATTTATCCAAAGATATATGTATGCCGGCTGCTGTACCACTTGGGTTAACAAGAAGAGTAAGAGAGAAACAAGCAAGAATGACACTTCTCCCTTCTGATATGGAATGGCAAGCTAATCATGTTTCAAAATTGCAAAACTTTTTCAAAACTCTTCACACGTTACAAGATTTGAGTAGCACTAATGAGATATCTCCTGCAGTAAGAGCTGATTATGTAAAGAACACAAGAAAATATCGTCAACCATTGTTGATTTATTCAGACACCAATGTGAATGTTTGGAAGAATTATTCAATTGATAGAAATATTTCTGTTGCAGATATTACAACTTCACTGATCAATAACTGTGAAGTGATGATTGATTATACTGATGAACAATACAATCATACTGCTGATAGTATGAATTTCATGTACCTATACCTTAATAGAATTAACTTTAGTTTAGGATATGAAACATTTTGTAATGAATTCTTGCTTAGAAATCAAGAAAAGAGTACCATGTACAGAGATACCTTCCTTATTTACTATGCATCTTCAACTGCCTTGTACGTATTGTGTGCTCTTGTCATGATTCTAGCTACCAATTATTTCCTGTCCTCCCTAAAAGATGCAATCAAGTTGATAGACAAACGTATTCCAAAAGATAAGATAGGAAAGATTTATCAAACTTTGAATACAAAGATTAATGACGACATGCAAATAGGAAATTCCGGTTTGTTTGCTACGCTTACTAAACCAAATAATCTTATTGCTATATTAGTTATTTCTATCATAGTGGTTACAGTTGGATGTGTTTCATTATTCTTTGTTGAGACTACCATTAATTCTCAATTTTCTGCAAACGCCATTCAAAATATTCAAGCCAGTGTGGTAATTATCATGACTTCACAACGTATTGGTTTGAGATTACAGGAAATTTTCATTTATGGTGTGAAGGATATATCTAGCAGCTTGCCATTAAAGAAATCCACCTTAACTTCAGCCACTGAACTTCAAAATTTCCATGAAGACCACAAAAACTTGGTCACTCTTATTAGAACTAAATGGAATGGTTTACTTTATGGTACAGAAGATAATGACTATCAAAAATTGACAGGTGTTTATCAAAAGATTGATAATATCATTAATGGTATTGATGATCGTAATCAAACAAGTTTGATTAATGGTACATCTAGTTGTGAAAGTTTGTCTGATCTCATTACTTATATCCTTAACTCGGGCACTTTATTCAATGAAGACGTTTATTACAATCCAAACAAGTACACTGGTCCACAAGTATTTGCATGGTCTCAACAATTGTTTTTCAAAATAGATCACTTGGGAGAATCTCTTACTAAATTTATTGAAGCATATTCCAATTATGCAAAGAATCCATCCCTTGCCATTACAATTTCTTTCTTTATATTTGGTTTCATAGCTCTGATTGTTTTGATTTATATCACCTATACATCAATGAGATCTTTCTGGGATGAATACAAACAGTTTAGAATAATGTTGAACTTTTTCCCAAGTGACTTGTTGGATGATGAGGTATTGAAAAAGTTTATTCTCCACAAGGAACTTCCATCAAAAATACAAATCAAGAAGAAACAAACTTCAGCTGCAAGTGGATCAGAAATTAATGACGTAATGCACAGTTCTGTAGACGGAACAGTAATGTGTAATGAAAAGGGTGAAATTTGCTTATTCAATCCTGTAGTGGAAAGTTTCTTCAGTCTCAAAAGTGGAGATGTAGTAGGATTGAATGTTTTAACACTTTTTAGTGAACCTTATCATGGACCAATCAGTAAAGTTATGAACCACTTGATTGACAAGTCTATAACAAAGGGAGAATCTCATGAAGTGGAATGTGTAAGAAAGAATCAATCCTATTTCCCTGCAAGAGTTAACATTTTTGCAAGCCATGCCAAGATTATTTTCATTATTAGAGACATTACTGCTGAAAAGAAACAAAACATCCTTCTTGAAGAAGAGAAGAAAAAATCCGAGTCCTTATTGAGAAACATCCTTCCAGAGGAGGTGGCCAAACGTTTAAAGTCAGGTGAAACATTTATTGCCGATAATTTTCCTGATATTACATGTTTCTTTTCTGATATGGTAGGATTTACAGCAATTAGTTCCACAATGACAGCCACTGATCTCGTTAAAATGTTGAATACTATTGTGAATGGATTTGATGATTTAACAGACTTCTATAAATTGGAAAAGATCAAGACTATTGGTGGTAAGTTTTTAGTGATTATATTTTAAATAACTATTGAGTAGATGCTTACTTTTGTATTGGAGGTATTTCTGTTGGTCACACATCAAGCGATCACCCAGAAAAGGTTTTAAAGTTTGCCATTGATGTTTTTAATGTTCTAAAGAGTTATAATTCTCAAAATTTTGACAAGCAAATTAATATTAGAGCTGGATTAAATACAGGTAGTGCTGTTGCAGGAGTAATTGGTAAACGAAAATTTGCTTTTGGTAAGTTGGAATAGTTACTGAGCTTGGATTTTAATATTTTACAAGACTTGTGGGGAGACGCGATTAACACCGCTTCTAGAATGGAAAGTACATCTGAAACTGGAAGAATTCAAGTTAGTAGATCAACTTATGAAAGAGTATACGATTTGGGATACTCATTTGAGGAAAGAGAGCAAAATGTTAAAGGAAAAGGAATGATGAAATGTTATTTATTAGACAAGTCCCATCATGTTGATCCAATTGTAAGGGATAACTTTACTACAACAGATTTTTCTGATGTCGACAGCAAGGATGATCAAATTGTGTACAAGTAGGCCATCAAATAAATATCAACAACAAGATAATCCTTCTATTGTTTTTCTCAACTACCTTTCTTTAATTGAGAAGTTTCCTTATCAACAAATTCAGATAAATAGTAAACTTTGGAAAGTATAAATTATGATTTTCTATGGTTTTCTGAAAAGCAGCTATTTTGATATGAGCTGATGAAATACCTTCTATCTCAATTAATTTGACAGATATTGAAATAATAAATTGTACAGAGAGAGAGTATATCACTGGGAATCTATCTTCTTCTAATGAATGTTTCTCATCCCTTATTCATTGGATAAAATAGTAAAGTATCACAAATATTAAAAGTAAAATATATAATAGTGAAAATTACAGTAAAAGATAAACATCTGGTAGAGAATGGATGACATGCTATTCGTGATGTTGCAGTGAGAAGTCATTATCCAAATCATGAGAAAAACAATAACAACATGAAAATATCAGATATCCACGATTTTCAGAAATTATGCTACAAGACTCGAAATTATACATTTAATAACATAATAAACATTATGAATTGTTGTTTTATTGTTGTTTGATTTGTAATTGGGCTATGAATCAACTCTGGTAGCATCAAATATCGGAATTTGGTAAATTGACAACATGACGAAAATCTGATAATAAATATGATGTTTATTATCTATTTAAATAGTAGTACTAAAAGACATGATTCAAGTTGGTGAAGTACATGTTGAGTTATGATCCATGTACTTTTTCAAAATTCACATCTACCTATCCCTATCATAACTTGACCAAAATTGATAAGAGAAAGTTCTCCTACCTACTATTGACCATTCCGAACAATACTACATTGACAGTTTTCCAACTTGTCCAGTAGATCCAGCAGTGATGATGAATTTAGTGAAAATTTTGACATTGCACCAAAATTACATTACTAAAAATTAATTTCCACAAATACTATTATTATATTGATGGAAAACAATAATGATGGTTGGTGAATGATCCGATGATGGAACACCAAATTGTGATTTTCCATCATGAAAAATAAATTCCAATTTCATGATGATAATCCACCAATAAAAATTACTATTATTACTACTATATAGATCATGTTGAGATGATGATGTGAAAGTTTGGTGGTTTCATGATGTAAAACCACTCCGAAAATCATCATGCCCATAGAGGACCATTTGGTGAATATTTTTTGATTCTTATCTTGGTCTAGGGAAGATTGTCATAATTACGACCCTCACTTTTTGACCCACCCAACCTCACTGTAAGATCGTCCCAACAAATCCTGGCCACTGCATGTGAGCTTTTTCACACATGTTACCGCTGAAAGTTGAATGTTCTGACCGTTAAATATTCAACAAAAAAAACAACAAACAACAATTACCCATGATTTCATCACCACCCTGCTAACTACCAACATCAGTACCAGGAGGAGAGTTCTCCCTTTGCCTCCTTCCACATCAGCCATAGCACATTCAACCATAACAATCCAGATGAATGCCTGCCCAAAGTTGTTGGTACACAAACAATCAAGAACCCAGAAGTACTTGTTGCTAGCAGAACAAGT